GTCTCCACAGACTCCTAAGTGCACCACTCACTCTTTTTCCCTCATCAATTCTATGATTCACCTCATCTTTCATAGACCCATCCGCTGACACGTCCACTCCCAAATATCTGAATACGTTCACCTCCTCCATACTCTCTCCCTCCAATCTGATATTCAATCTTTCATCACCTAATCTTTTTGTTATCCTCATAACCTTACTCTTTCCTGTATTCACCTTTAATTTTCTTCTTTTGCACACCCTACCAAATTCATCCACCAATCTCTGCAACTTCTCTTCAGAATCTCCCAAGAGCACAGTGTCATCAGCAAAGAGCAGCTGTGACAACTCCCACTTTGTGTGTGATTCTTTATCTTTTAACTCCACGCCTCTTGCCAAGACCCTCGCATTTACTTCTCTTACAACCCCATCTATAAATATATTAAACAACCATGGTGACATCACACATCCTTGTCTAAGGCCTACTTTTACTGGGAAAAAATTTCCCTCTTTCCTACATACTCTAACTTGAGCCTCACTATCCTCGTAAAAACTCTTCACTGCTTTCAGTAACCTACCTCCTACACCATACACTTGCAACATCTGCCACATTGCCCCCCTATCCACCCTGTCATACGCCTTTTCCAAATCCATAAATGCCACAAAGACCTCTTTAGCCTTATCTAAATACTGTTCACTTATATGTTTCACTGTAAACACCTGGTCCACACACCCCCTACCTTTCCTAAAGCCTCCTTGTTCATCTGCTATCCTATTCTCCGTCTTACTCTTAATTCTTTCAATTTAACTCTACCATACACTTTACCAGGTACACTCAACAGACTTATCCCCCTATAATTTTTGCACTCTCTTTTATCCCCTTTGCCTTTATACAAAGGAACTATGCATGCTCTCTGCCAATCCCTAGGTACCTTACCCTCTTCCATACATTTATTAAATAATTGCACCAACCACTCCAAAACTATATCCCCACCTGCTTTTAACATTTCTATCTTTATCCCATCAATCCCGGCTGCCTTACCCCCTTTCATTTTACCTACTGCCTCACGAACTTCCCCCACACTCACAACTGGCTCTTCCTCACTCCTACAAGATGTTATTCCTCCTTGCCCTATACACGAAATCACAGCTTCCCTATCTTCATCAACATTTAACAATTCCTCAAAATATTCCCTCCATCTTCCCAATACCTCTAACTCTCCATTTAATAACTCTCCTCTCCTATTTTTAACTGACAAATTCATTTGTTCTCTAGGCTTTCTTAACTTGTTAATCTCACTCCAAAACTTTTTCTTATTTTCAACAAAATTTGTTGATAACATCTCACCCACTCTCTCATTTGCTCTCTTTTTACATTGCTTCACCACTCTCTTAACCTCTCTCTTTTTCTCCATATACTCTTCCCTCCTTGCATCACTTCTACTTTGTAAAAACTTCTCATATGCTAACTTTTTCTCCCTTACTACTCTCTTTACATCATCATTCCACCAATCGCTCCTCTTCCCTCCTGCACCCACTTTCCTGTAACCACAAACTTCTGTTGAACACTCTAATACTACATTTTTAATCCTACCCCATACCTCTTCGACCCCATTGCCTATGCTCTCATTTGCCCATCTATCCTCCAATAGCTGTTTATATCTTACCCTAACTGCCTCCTCTTTTAGTTTATAAACCTTCACCTCTCTCTTCCCTGATGCTTCTATTCTCCTTGTATCCCATCTACCTTTTACTCTCAGTGTAGCTACAACTAGAAAGTGATCTGATATATCTGTGGCCCCTCTATAAACATGTACATCCTGAAGTCTACTCAGCAGTCTTTTATCTACCAATACATAATCCAACAAACTACTGTCATTTCGCCCTACATCATATCTTGTATACTTATTTATCCTCTTTTTCTTAAAATATGTATTACCTATAACTAAACCCCTTTCTATACAAAGTTCAATCAAAGGGCTCCCATTATCATTTACACCTGGCACCCCAAACTTACCTACCACACCCTCTCTAAAAGTTTCTCCTACTTTAGCATTCAGGTCCCCTACCACAATTACTCTCTCACTTGGTTCAAAGGCTCCTATACATTCACTTAACATCTCCCAAAATCTCTCTCTCTCCTCTGCATTCCTCTCTTCTCCAGGTGCATACACGCTTATTATGACCCACTTCTCGCATCCAACCTTTACTTTAATCCACATAATTCTTGAATTTACACATTCATATTCTCTTTTCTCCTTCCATAACTGATCATTTAAAATTACTGCTACCCCTTCCTTTGCTCTAACTCTCTCAGATACTCCAGATTTAATCCCATTTATTTCCCCCCACTGAAACTCTCCTACCCCCTTCAGCTTTGTTTCGCTTAGAGCCAGGACATCCAACTTCTTTTCATTCATAACATCAGCAATCATCTGTTTCTTGTCATCCGCACTACATCCACGCACATTTAAGCATCCCAGTTTTATAAAGTTTTTCTTCTTCTCTTTTTTAGTAAATGTATACAGGAGAAGGGGTTACTAGCCCATTGCTCCCGGCATTTTAGTCGCCTCATACGACTCATAGGACTTGTAGGAAAAATAGGGTTACATTCCTGGGAGCCCCAAAAAAGCCAAACAACTTTTTTAGGCCTCCACATCTTACAAAAACAAAAGTGAATATGTAACTGTAGTTCATTGTTGTGATGTACTGTTGTTGTCTTTACTGGTTAAGACTACAAATGTAACAGAAATAATAGTATTTCTTACCTTAAATTGTGGGTGCTGGTGTTTGAGGATGATTGTGAAGAGTGGAGAGCTACGCTCTGGCTCTACTGGGCTGAGGTGGATGGTAGAGTTTCTGGTACTGAAGGCGATGGTTGTACTGGAGTGTCTAAGTCATCCAGTCATTCAATCATTCAGTCAAGTGATTCAGTCAAGTGATTCAGTCAAGTCATTCAATCATTCAGTCAAGTCATTCAGTCAGTCACACAAACTCATGTTTACCTCTTTTTCTGTGTACAAAATAACATTTCATTACCATTATCTCTTGTCTAATATCTTTGTTTTCTTCGTTAATTCTAAGACTTAAATGTTTATACCTTTTCTTGCCACTTTCAGCAATACTGCTATGCCTACTAGGTGTCATGATTGCTTGGCAGATACAAGATATAGCAATTAAAAGATCAAAACACAATTCACACACACAGCTAGCTTGTAGCAGAGAAGAGGAACTAACTGGACGTTTTTTTTTTTTTTAACAAGTCGGCTGTCTACCACCGACGCAGGGTGACCCAAAAAAGAAAGAAATTCCCCAAAAAGAAAATACTTTCATCATCATTCAACACTTTCACCTCACTCACACAATCACTGTTTTTGCAGAGGTGCTCAGAACACAACAGCTTAGAAGCATATACCTATAAAGATACACAAACATATCCCTCCAAACTGCTAATATCCTGAATCCCTCCTTTAGAGTGCAGGCATTGTACTTCCCATTTCCAGGACTCAAATCCGGCTATATAAAAATAACCGCTTTCCCTGAATCCCTTCACTAAATATTATCCTGCTCACACTCCAACAGATCGTCCGGTTCCAAATACCATTCGTCTCCATTCACTCCTATCTAACACGCTCACACACGCTTGCTGGAAGTCCAAGCCCCTCGCCCACAAAACCTCCTTTACCCCCTCCCTCCAACCTTTTCGAGGATGACCCTTGCCCCGCCTTCATTCCCCTACAGATTTATACGCTCTCCATGTCATTCTACTTTGATCCATTCTCTCTAAATGACCAAACCACCTCAACAACCCCTCTTCAGCCCTCTGACTAATACTTTTATTAACTCCACACCTCCTAATTTTCACACTCCAAATTTACTGCATAATATTTACACCACACATTGCCCTTAGGCAGAACATCTCCACTGCCTCCAACCGTCTCCTCGCTGCTGCATTTACCACCCAAGCTTCACACCCATATAAGAGTGTTGGTACTACTATACTTTCATACATTCCCTTCTTTGCCTCCATAGATAACGTTTTTTGTCTCCACATATACCTCAACGCACCACTCGCCTTTTTTCCCTCAACCGGTGGCCTGGTGGCTAAAGCTCCCACTTCACACACAGAGGGCCCGGGTTCGATTCCCGGCGGGTGGAAACATTTCGACACGTTTCCTTACACCTGTTGTCCTGTTCACCTAGCAGCAAATAGGTACCTGGGTGTTAGTTGACTGGCGTGGGTCGCCTCCTGGAGGACAAGATTAAGGACCTCAATGAAAATAAGTTACAGTCCTCAATGACGCACTGACTTTCTTGGGTTATCCTGGGTGGCTAACCCTCCGGGGTTAAAAATCCAAACGAAATCTTATCTTATCCTTCATAAATCCATCCGCCGACACGTCAACACCCAAGTATCTGAAAACATTCACCTCTTCCATACTCCTCCTCCCCAGTTTGATATCCAATTTTTCTTTATCTAAATCATTTGAAGTATAAATGCTGGGATGGTGGGGTGGTGTTAGGGGATGGTGGGAGGTCTCCCTGGCTGATCCACAACAAGGCAGCCACTTGAGGAAAAGTGAATTTTTGTTTCCTTCCCGCAAACTGAACCATGTTAAATTAATTTTAGGATGTGTTACATAAAATTGTGCCACAATTCTTCAATCATGCTATACCCGAATCGTGCCAAATAAACTCTTGGTAAATGATGGCCTACTGTAGTTCAAATGTCCCTCAAACAACAAATATCCCAAATCCTACCTTTAGAGTACAGGCACTGTACTTCCCACCTCCAGGACTCAAGTCCGGCTAAACCGTTTCCCCGAATCCCTTCACAAAATATTACTTTGCTCACACTCCAAATGATCATCATATTCCTAAAAAAACATTTGTCTCCACTCACTTCTAACATGCTCACACATGCCTCTTATATTCCTTGAAATCCTGCTTATAAATTTACGTGAAAGGCTTGAATTCATAGCCCCAACAAAACTCTCAACCTGTAACAATTTGTCAGTCTTACCTTAGGTAATGGCTTGGCTATTTCCACATGTGGCTGTGGTGCTGGAGAAGCATCAATGTTGTTTTGCGGTGCCTGTGAAGCAGCATCCATTGGCAACTCAAATACACACCGCAACTTTGAGTCCATCAAGTGACTCAGATCAGCTTCTTTAAACTGAAATTGAAATAAATTGATCTTAATTACAAAATTACTTCACAAATTATGTATCTAAAACATTTTATATATAACAAGATAATGTACACCTATTCATGTACTTACAGCTGTTAGAATTTTCTAAACAATTATAATTTTGTTAATTACCAGTGGCAGAGGCAACAGCAACAGCTGTGTGCCTCTAAACTGATCTATATACATTGAATGCAAAGATGATGACTGGCATATTTGCTATACAAGATCTTACTGATCTGTAAGACTGCCAGCAAAAGACTCACTAATACCCAGGAGGCTTTACAAGTCATTAAACAGTATACAGTAGTACTAAATATGGTCAAATTCATTAGATAACTAAGATGGGAAACAGCCACTGTGTTAATAAAGAATAAAAAAAAACTAAGGATGACAGGAAACTTTAAAACTTTGGATGATACTGATTAGATGATTAATAATTATGTACAACTAACATTACTAGTAGTGTTTGGAAAGTATGTGCATTGGCTGGATAAAGATTCATTAGTGGTTATCTATTAGTGGTTCTGGGGAGTATCATTTTTCACTGCCTGGTGTCAGACCAGGCCTCCTAGGCTGTAAAGGAAATATCACAGGACTCAGAACTATCAGGAAGCCTGTTCATAAGAGAAAGCAAATATCAGAAATCCCACCAGAATGAAAAAAAAAAAAAAAAAAAAAAAAAAAAAGTTTATTCTGTGCTCATTTGACAGATAGTATGTACCTCCCATCACAGTTACTGTCTACCAGACTGCTAAACATGGAGTGGTTGCTACTTCCCTAATTCAAGTATCAGTGAATGATGTGTGAATCTTGTTGTGTCTTCAGTTGCTACAGAGGCAACCTTTGATGCATTAGTCAAACAAGTGCACCCAAGCTGAATGCTTTCTCTTACCTTTGCTATTTATTACTTTCAACATCCTAGGTTTATACTAATTAAGTCAATGATTTGCACAATTTACAGTAAGTATAATCATTCGATTTCTCATGTTGAGAGCCAACAGTTATTTAATTTGGAACCCTAGTCTTCAAAATAACTGGGTATTTTTGGTTTTAGAGAACATGAACTTCATTTTCAATGTTCTGCTGTTAACCCCTTGACTGTCGCAACCCCAAATCCTGTGGTGTCTCCTGGTGTTGCAAAATTTCTGGAAAAAAAAAAAAAAGAATTGGTGGAAAACTGACAGAATTACGCTCTCGCAAAGTTAGCGACCTCAGCGATATTTACGAATCGGCAATTTCGCCCACTTTGAGCCCTATTTTCGGCTAATTCCATTGTTCCAGTCCACCAAACTCATAGCTATTTCTTTAGAACTCCATTTTTTCTATTGATTGAATACAAGAAGCTGCCCATTTACCGATTTTCAACTACCTAATAACATCGTCAGAAATTTGCAATTTGGCCAATTTCACGAAAATTACAAAAATATGGCAATTTCAAAACAGGGTCCAGAATGAACAATGCAGACATTCCTGACTCCAAAATAACATTTTCTTTGTTCATCAGTCATGTCTCCAGGCCCCTCTGATATTACTCTTGCTTTCTATTTTGAATTTGTATTCAAACAAAAAATAGAAGATTTACTGTCATGCAGATTACTACAACATTGTAATAATTGAATAAATAATATCAACCCATTCATGACTGCATATCAGAATGGCTAGTTGGACATTTATTGGAAAATGACATCATTTGTTTACTTTTGAACATCGGTAAAAATCAAACATTTCCCCTATTGTGAGCTCCATTTCAAGCTTCTTTTCATAGTAAAACCAATCAAAATCACCTCTTATTTCTATAACATGTTTTCCATTCTATCAAATGAGACCAAGAAAATGAGAATTCAACCATAAATACTATACGAAAATAGACCATAAAGTCGGCATTTTAATGGTCAGTTTTTTTTCTCATTATGCACTGCGTGCTGCAGGATTTTCTTTGTATGGTGCACACTGACCACACAGACCCATTCTCTCGCATGTGGGCCTACCACCTTTCTCCTGCTCGATTTGAAGCCGCTAGAATTTATGAGTAGTATATACACGTCAAACACGGTGGCTCATAAGACGTATATATATGACCGAAACAGTCGAAGGGTTAATACTACTGTATTTGAATTTAAGAATGAAATTAAAATTGTGATTTTTTTTTTACTGCTACTAATACAAACATTTTGAACAAACAGAGATTACACTGTTTATAGTCTGCAAAAAAAAAAAAAAATTGTTTAACTGAAATGTAAATAAAAAATTTACCACCAATCATGTATCAAACAAAATTAAAAACGTTAAGAAAAGAAAATATCAAAAGACCAGGTATTGATGTTCTGCATTTTTTTAATTCTCTGATAAAGCTAGAAAACAAAAATTTTATACACCCCTGTCCATTTTTTTTTCTGAGACCATATAACCCAGGATATTACCTCAAACCTAAATAATGCTGGAGCATTTTTGCCACCGTTGCCAATACATCATCATATTTTGCCAACTTAAGCACTATAAAATCACAAGTTTTCATCTTATTTTTGTTCCTTTCCATTTTGTTATACTTGGAAAACATACTTTCAATATGTAAAACTTTTTTTTTTCACCTGCAGGAAATTTAATTTCTGGGCATGCCTAGGCTAAAGAACTAAAACTAGCCCATCAACAAACAGCAATTCAATTTGTTACCTCGCTATCTTTACCCCAGACACTCCAAAATGTCCCTACCATGCCTTCTATAACATTACCATTAACCCTTAACCCGTAAACGGTCCAAGCAGATCTACGTTCACACGTGTAGTGCTACAAAAGTAGATCTACGTTTTTTTTACACATTTTCAAATGTAAAAAAACAAAAGGATCTACTTTTTTTTTTTACATACTTTCAAATGTTGAAAAAACGTACATATACGTTTGGACCGTTTACGGGTTAAACTGTGGCATACCTTCAAATAAAAATTTCTGAGTGGGGGAGGATTTTTAAAACTAAAAATTTCTTATAGAATGAAAGTGTATTTTTCTGAATCTAATAAAACTACAATGAGTGGTATTTAATAAAAACTTACTATTTTACAGCGTGCTGAAGTTGAAGAAATAATCATTCATTGGCAGGAGCGACTTAAATGTGTCAGTAATATTTGCATTTTACTATTTATTCACCCAATGTATGATTATTTAGTTTTTTGTTTTTTAACTGTTTTTAATGTTTAACACTATGTACACTAGTTTCTTTTAATATTAGATGTAACTGAAGTTGTTTTACCACATCAAATATGGGCAAATGTCTAGCCCGACATTCCTCCACTTGGAATCTATGGTATATACTATACTGTATAATACATTATTCTATTTTTTTTTTTACCAGTTTGGTTCTTATAGTGTTATGTACAAGGAATACTTGTAATATTACAATTATTGTAGAGAGTATTACTTCTCAGAATATGGAAATAAGTAACACTGGCCTTACTGGGTTTTCCTAGGTTAAATATACTAAGTGTATTTTAAGGCTGAATTCCATTGTATCATGATAAATTTGGAATGAATAAGTCATCAAACTGTTTGCCGGTAGGGAATCTGGTGGAACAGTACATCTGATGCAGTCATCACTTGTGTAGTTAACCATGATACACTGTATAAACCCTCCTGGCCTTTCATTTTTTTTCAAATGTATGAACAGATTGAAGAAGACCCAAGAGTTGTACTAATGTCAAAAATACTGGCAGTTGGCAAATCTGAAGGTACAAAAAATTGGACATACTAGTACATTATGTCGGACACAGACAGCACTTGAGTACTAGTACTGTGCAATCATTTTCTCACTTGGAGGCTCGTAGATCATTGGTAGCACCTTTGCTCACAATAAATGAAACTGGGTTCAATCCTAGAATGGTTGGAGGTGGACATGTTTCCTTACACCTGTTACCCCATGCTTAGTAATAAATAGGTACCCAGGTGCTTAACAACTGTCATCGGACCCATACTGGGAGATGAGGGTAATATACCTTAAAGCCAAGTTAGAAAAGATCTGAAGTACAATGACAGCTTCTAGCTTAATCTGACAATATAGACAAATTCCATTTATATTTACATAAAGATACCAAGAAACTTACTTCTGAACACACCTATTAATTCCAGGAGCATCAACATAACCTATTTCTCCCATCCCACTTTATCCTATGCAATTCTTTAATTCAAGCACTTAAACCCTTCTTTTCTTTCCACAATGGCCATCTTGCCAGAAGTGTGGGCCTATCACAATATAAATGACGCTGCTTCAATGCTGGCACTATTTCCCACCTCCAGGTCTCAAAAAAGCTGTGTTGTGACCACGTTATCGTGGTCACAACAACAAAAATCACTTGTCTCAACTTCATTCTTATTTAACATGTTCACAACCACCTGCTGGATGCTGAAGCCCCTCCTACTCGAAACATTCTTCCCATACCTCGATTGCTCAACTCTCACACTGAGGTCCGGAGGTCAATCACCGGTACTGCTGGAAACATTAGGATGTGTTACCTTAAGACATCTGCTGTCCCTGTTTACCTAGCCATAAAATAGGTAACTGGGTGATAGTTGACCAGTGCAGGTTGCATCCTGTGGACAAAATTTACCCAATTGCCCAAAATGCTCTGCATAACAAGGGGCTTTCTATATAATGTGTCACTGGTGTCAGCTAGGCCTGTATAACATGTACACGTACAGTGGAACTCCACTTTCGTACTTAATCCGTTCCAGAAGGTTGGTCTAAATCAAACGTACAAAAAACGAATTAATATTTCCCATAAGAAATAATGTAAACACAATTAATCCGTTCCAGACACCCAAAATAGTATAAACAAAAAATACATTTTTTGAAGAATAACTATAGTTTTACATACAGAAAACAGTGAGAAATAAATATAAATGATTAATTTTAATGATAAATGAACATTACATACCTTTATTGAAGACTTGTTGGTGTATTAAGGAAGGCGAGGAGGGGAGAGAGAGTCGAGTTTATT